GCCGCCGCCTTGGTCTGGGCCGGGCAGCTGCTCCGCCAAGAAGTGCAGCAGCTCGCCCAGGGCCACCACGCCTCGGCCGCGCAGCGGGAGCAGCTGGCCCGCAGCCTGCAGGGGCTGGCGCAGCAGGTAACGCCGGAGCGGCGAGGCAGCCGGGCACGGGGGCTCCTGCCAGGGCAGCACGTGCCATAGCAGCCTGTGCGGGCATCCCCCCCCTTGGGGGAGGGCTGAGGGCACCCAGGCCAAGGAAGGACCCAGGAGGGTGCCCAGAAGGGCAGGGAGTGGGGATGCATATAGGAGCTGGAGAAAAGGCTCCCATCTCAGTCCTCTGGGCAGCGGAGAGCAGGGCTCACTTCTGAACCCAGGCGGCAAAGGAAACTCCACCACCACCCCCGCCCAGCAAAACTGCCCCCACGTCTGGGCACCCCTGGCCCACACGAGTCTCCTCAATCCAAGCAGGGTCCTGCCTCCAGTGCAGAAACCTACTGGGGGATTCAGTCAGTGGGATGGAGACTTACAGCATAGGCCAGAGATTTTCACCCGGGTGCTGCTGGGTCTTTTGAAGGGTGCCTGGACACTTCAAGTGATGAGGAGGACCTGTGAGATTGGCTAGGATGGTTTGGAAAGAGATGGCAGGGGGTTGGACTCAATCGGCATTTCTCCACCCATGAGTTGTGACCCAAAAGTGGGTCAAAAGAACATAGGGAAGGGTCACGAGCAGACTTTAAAGATGGACTCTTCTTTAAAGGAGGAAAATGTGGGAAGCTGTAGGTTTTCCCTTGCAGGCTAGTAGAGCTCCAGCCTGCCAGGGGGGCCCCGCATGCCCTTCCCCCTACCCCACACACTGTGGGGGCTGGGGCATGGGGGCAGCGGGTCAGGAGTGAGGGGCACTGGGTCAGGACTGGCCATCGACATTTGCAAATGGTCCTGGTACAAAAAAGGTTGAGAACCACAGGACTAGATGACCTCTGGAGGGCCCTTCCAGCCCTGCTTCTCCATGGTAGGAAAGGTGTGAGGAGATAAGCAAATAAGGTTTGTCCCTGCCTGGCTACAGGAAGGAGGTGAGCACTGTAACCTATCTATATATCTTACTTTTTAAGAAATTGAGTGCCGCTCAGTTCACAAAAGTTATGGAAAGTTGCTTCAAGTCCAGTGAGGTTGAGAACCACGGGCATATACTCTTTTATCAGAGACGTCTCCCATCCTCCGCTGTTCCAGCCTTGAGTCTCTTATCCACTGAAACAGTCAGCAGTGTTTGGGCAAGCGCTAAGAACAAAAACGAGACCAAAGTCTTTTCATGCACGGTTGTAGGCATGATTTAAACATAGGCTGGTGAAACCCAACCCTGTTAACTTACTGTATCATCTAATTTATTCAGTTGCAATCCACATGGTTCACCTGTGTTATATAATAAAATTAAATATACTTTGCACTTTCTGGTAAAAGGGCCAGGCCCACATTTTCGGTAGTACAATTTTAATATCTTGGATGTTAATACAACTTAACTGAAATACACCAGGATATGTGGTTTTGCATTCATATGATTGCGGCTTTTTACCATTTAGGATGGCACTGCAGGAGATAGTGCTGTTGTGAAACTTTAGTGAGACATGCCCTCACTTTTCTGCTACTGGTGACCACTTCTGCTGTGCGCTATGGAGAACAAAAATCCCGCCTGTTTTATAGAAGAGGCACAGGCAGAACTGCTGAGTGACTCACACTCCTTGCTTACAGTGCCTCCTAATTTCCTGCGTTATCTCCAGCCAAGAGCAGGAGACCCAGCAGCTGTCATTGCATTTGATGCTGGGGGAAGTGTAATGAAGTAGTCAGCAAAGGGTGTGGCCCTGCTGTGATGAGAGAAACATCCCTGTTCTTGCAAAGGATTCTTTTTTGTGTGGTTTTAGGCTAGGGTTTCACACGTGGCAGTGTACATGCATTTCTACACCTTGTCTTTTAAAGTGTGAAATACAAGGGGAAAAGCTATCAAATGAAAGCCATGTCTGAAATTATAATGCCTTAAAAAGATGGGGGTAAGGGGGAAGTCCAGTAGTTCTTTTTCATTTGCTTTGTTTTGTGCGTTTGAGAGCAGTTTCACTGCCCTGTGTGTGACTGCTCAGTTAGGTCTCAGTTCTGTAAGTTGGTATATGGGATCTGATCCACCCATCTGCGCAGAACTCCACTGACCTTTTCTTAGCATCCTACATGAGTGTAAGGTTCTGCTTACATGGGTCAGCTTGCAGGATCAGTTAGGGGGTCTTAGCCATTTTCTCATGTTGGGTCTTTCGCACACCAGCATATGTAGGAAACAGACAAAATGAAAATACAGTTGTAACGGTACAGGAAAGGTGTAGTCTCTGTAACTAACTTTAAATTCAGTTTCTCATGCTAACTAGATTTCAAATTCACAGGATACTGACAAAGTTCACAGGCCCACCTAATAGTGTTTACCTAGCTTAAACAAACCAAAAAATAAATCACAATTTGAAGGAAGGGATAGATTAAGTTGGGCATGCGTGGCACAGAAATATCGTACATAATGTGGCGAACAGTCTAGATGCCTAGATTGTGTATATAATTCTGTATGTTCCATGGCACGTATTGTTTCAAAAGCTGAGCACCTCGCAGACTTCCCTTGCAACACCGCTGTGAAGAACAGAAGTTTTGTTTTCCCTGTTTGATTGCTAGGAAAGTGGCATGGGCAGGTTAAGTGATTTGGTCTTGGTCACATGGAAAGCCTGTGGTAGCACCAGCAATTTGGGTTCTGCCTTTGAAGTCCCAGACCGGTTTCTGAAACAGAAAAACTTTCTTCCTCCCCCTATGGAGAGAAGGCATACGCTGCATTGTTCGTAGCTGGCAGGAGTGTTAAACAAATGGTAATCCAGATCTATGAAATATTTGGCACAGAATTCTTCCCAACTGCTATCCTCAGTTGACTCACCAGACAGAAGCTGTCTACAAGATCAGACAGACTAAGGCTTTATACAGACATTACAGCTAGAAGTTCTGGGGGTTATATTGGATTAAAAACATTTCACTGATTTAACTCAGTAATGAGATAGGTGCTGGAGGCCTGATTTAAGGTAAGTTGGGGTAGGGGATGGAACAGGTAGGGTGGGGGAGATTGGGGGGCTAGCAGGGTCTGCTGGAGGCTAGGGGGGATAAGAGAGGCTTTCTGATCCTGCCAGTCCCCCGGATTAAAGTAAATTGGGGTTAGAGGGGGAGAGGAGTGGGGACAAACTGATGGCTTTGCAGGGGAGGTTTGGTGGGAGGGAAGCCTCTCTCCTCTCCAACCAGGGAATATTTTTAGCCCTCCCAATCCCCCACCCCCAGACAAACAACCCCTCCCCAAGCAAACCAACCCCCCTGGCCCTCCCCACACCACAATTTGCTTCAGTCAGGTCCCTGTACAACTAAATGCTGGTAAAACTGGCACCAGGAACAGTTTGCATGATCAGTGGGTTGGTGGGGGAGGCTGGTTGGTTCATCTGGTGGTGACGGGAGGGGCTGAGGGGCTAAAAAGAGTCCAGTGCTGGGCAGGGAGAGGGTAGGAAAAGCACAGCCCTGCGGCTGGGATGAACACGTAGTGGCCAGGCTTTCCCAGCCCTGGGGCTGTGCTCAGAACGTATACAGAAGTTCAGTTAGACCGGTCTAGCCAAACCCCATCTAACTTAGTGCATCTCTGAGGTACAGTTAAATTGGATCAGACTGGCGATTTCTTGACTGATCTAACCTTTCTGGAACTTCTGTACAATTTGCACTTAGATTGACATAACTAAGGATCCATGGGTAAGGCCCACATGGGGGCAAACTAAGTTAGATCAGGTGGCCATTTTAAACAATATCTAACCTCCCCCTAACTTCCCTGAACATCTGGATGTACCCTTAATCACATGCGCACCCATGTCTCTGTTGCTAATGGGCAAGGGTACTTACCTGTATCTGGACCCTCTAAGGCTCCTGCAGACTTCAATTTGCAGTGATTTTTTTTTTAAGATTGCGACAGATACAGAACATTTTTCAATAGTGTTTTTCTTCAAAGGAAGGCAATAGAGAAAATCCTTGGTGGTGCTCCTTTTTTCCATTGCTTATGAGGTTTCCATCGCTTATGAAAAAGAGAGACCACGGTTGTTAGAAGTATCAGCATCACTCCATCCAAGTCGAAAAAGTATTTCATTTGGGATTTTCAAAGTTAGTGAGAGTTGGTTGTCTAATTCCCTTAGGCTCCTTTGAAAATCCCAGCAAATCCTGACAAACATAGAAATACATACAAAATTTTAGGGTTGGAAGACACTTTCAGGTGTCCATACAGATGCAGAATTTTCTGTTCCTCAAGTATCCCAGACAACTGCTTATCCAGTCTCTTCTTGAAAGAGAAGGAGATTCCACAACTTCCCTAAGCAACTTGTTCTAGTTTCTATCACTAATAGAAAGTTTTTCCTGAGATTTGATTTGTATAATCAGTTGCCTTCATCTCTAGGTTGCTGCAGACAGAACCATAAGTTTTATATAGTGCTGTCTAGGCAGAGCCGTCCCTCGGGTACGGTGAATTAGGGCAACCACCCCAGGCCCCATGCTTTACGGGGGGCCCTGCAGAGCCAGGCAGAGCGGCCGCAGCCCCGGCCCCGGCCCCTCCCGTGGGGCCTGCCTGGAGCTTGTGGCTCAGCCCCACACTGTGGAAAAAGCATGGAGACCCTGCACAGTGTTAAGGGGGCTGTGCACAGGCTGATTTGTCCTGGGCCCCAAACCCCGCTAGGGTTGGCTCTGTCTCTAGGAGTCAGGTACACAAAGAAAGTTACAATTAATTAGTTGTTATAGAAACTTCAAGTTCTAAAAGGAAATAATCATAAAACTGTTGCATGTAGGGGGTGGTTAACTTTTGGTATGCATTTCTTAATGCAAAATAGAGCATGTAGATCATGCTGTGTTTCAGTCGAACACTTAACATTATGTTAAGTCTGTTCTTCTGTTGGCACTTAAGAGCAAAAAGGCTTGGTATTAATTCATTGCTGCACTCCACTGTAGGATACTGCACTCTACTCATACAGCACTTGCTGTACAGCCCGTTTGGGGGAGCACTCCCCCCATTTTGGTCTTCTGCCATGCAGTGCCGTTGTCATAAGTAAGAGTTACATAACCTCATTGCTTTTCACATCAGCCATAAGAGGAGAAAGGAAATGATGTGGAAAGTTGAGGCACAGTACAATGTTCGGAGGACCCAAAATTTTCTGACATAATAAATACAGACATAAGATGGCTGGTAAAAAGAAGAAAAAAATGGTTGGTAGATAAAGAATATTTGTCAGTTTTATTCACAATATTAAACCTTTTGAGGACTGGGACTATATTTTATGCTTCTCCATCCAGAAGTAGCTGGCAAGAGACTACACCTCTTTATAATGAACATGAATTACCATTTTGAATTTGGGGGGTTGCAAGAGGCTTATTAAGGGGCTAGTTAGCTATTGTTTAGAAAAAAATGAATAGAGATGTAACAGGGTAGGTAAGATTAGAAACTAGTCTAGCTTGACTATTATGTGCAAGGGAGTGACTTTAATTTACACCATTAGGATGGAGACCCTCAAGAATATGCAAGTAGAGAATTGATTTAACAGAACTACATTCCATCTTTCCCCAACACTCCTGTTCCTATGTCAGAAGTCTCTTTCCATCAGTAGAGGGTTCCCCCTTCTATATTGGTGAGTTACCTGTTGGTCACCGCTGAACATTTTTTTCTCTGGTAATTTTATGCCTTGGGTGGTACAATTTGAACTTAGCAAACTGAATAAATTCTGTTTTACAGTACTTTTTGAAGACTAATTAACAGGGTGATTTTACCAGCTTAATTTAATTTTGATATAGATTCTATCTTGTATCTGAGTTAAGTGTGTAATGGTTTCCTTGCATTGTATAAGGTTTACAGACATCTAATAGGTGACATGTCAGTGTTAGTGGTACAGAAAAAATAAGCTTGTTACAATGGCATAATCAGAATAAAAGATCACTGGTAGTAGCTTAGACTAATATGATTTTGTAGATTTATGTTACCCCAATTCTTTTCCTACTTGATTTATTTTTAGTTTTGTATAACTTTCAGGTCACACACTATTAAAGAGGCAAAATACTTATTTTATTTTTTAAAGACTGAGTTGAGAGGAAACCAATGATGTTATTTTTGGTTCTCTATAATGTATAAAAGTTGGAGTAAGGGGGCCTTGTCCTTTTGGGGGACTGTAGTGTTTAATCGTGCCTAGCTTCCCAAGGTGCTTTTCCACACTTTTTTTTTTTTATTACAAACATCAGGTTTTGCTTTCCCTGGTTTTTCAGAAGAACTGAAAAGCAAATAAAAGTTGTTACATCAGAACAAATTAAATTGAAAACTTAAGCAATTAAAAGGAGTTTTTGAGCAGAGATTATGCCTGCTTATCTCAAAGTCCTGTCAAGTTTTTGGGATAAATGTTTGTTTTTCTTGAAAAGGTAAGAGTGTTTGGCTCTTCAACCATAGGCTGAGAAAGTTCCCTCTCTAGTTCATTAGTTCTTTAGCAAACGCAAGGAATAGCGATAATATTTTCCCTAGTATGGACTTAAAAAAGGGGAGTGGGGAGAGAAAATTCTTACCCCTATTCTCCAAGAGAAAAAGGTTAAAAGGTGAGTAAAGCCACATTTCTTTTGCAGGCTGTCTTGAAAACGTCGGGGTTACTTGGTCCAATATATAGTAAATCAGGGGTTTGTAAGGAATCCCATTGGAGATGTGTTGCAGCAGCAGCAGGGCGAGCAGCTGCGTTAACCCCCATGGCTCCCCGAGCCAGCGCCAGCACTGCCAACCTGCAGTGCTTAATGCAGACATTGCTTGCCATGATGCCAGAAGTGGTTCTGGGGCTGGTACATGAGGAGTCCTATGATCCAGGTTCAGCCTGGGGGCCAAACACATTTGACATCCCCACAGTAAGTCATTCAGAGTTTGCATTCAAGAGAACAGCTCTTATCCAAACTCTGCAGTTCATGCTCAGTTCAGACCCCCACTGAGGTGAAGGAAAGTTCAGTCTGAGGCCTTAATCTTGTCAACATGCATATGGATCATTTAATGATTAATTAGTAACTTAATTGACTAATTCAGTAAGAAGTGTTTGTGGGATCAGAAGCAGAGAGAAGACTTCAAGACTCACAACTAAAAATAAAAAAATCTTATTCAGTGAAATTATCTAGTTATTAGATAGATGAGCTACCCTGAAACAGTGCATCACACATGACAGATTGTGTGGTAGTTCTCATTATTATACCCCTCAGGTGTGCTACACAGAGGGAGACAAGATAGCAGGCATTACTCAGCAGTGCTACATACCCAAGTCCTAAAGGTACTGTAGGTGAAGAATTTCCACTGAAGCCAGTGGGAGTTTAATTGCTTTTTTATTTTCCATCATGTTAATTTAGTGCTTGTGATGAATACCATCTTGGCAGCTTTGGAGACTCGAATTGATTTTTATACATGGACTGGGAACAGCAGAGGTAGTGGTGGTACATTCATGTGCCCACACCCTAATTCTAAGGTGAAAGGGTGCTTAATTTTCATACTCATTCAACCTTTGTCCTTTTTGCTGCTAGTGCCAACAACTGTGTCCACTAGTGCCATCTGTGAGGGTCATTTTCAGGATGTAGACCAGGGCAGGCAATTTTTTTGGGCAGAGGGCCATTTACTGAGTTTTGGCAAGCCGTCGAGGGCTGCATGACAGGCAGACAGGGGCAGATAAATATGAACTTTCTACATTTTTAGGGGTCCCGTGGGCCAGATGGAATGGCCTGGCGGGCTGCATGTGGCCCACAGGCTGCATTTTGCCTACTCCTGATGTAGACACTGAACTGGATTGAGACCACCAGCTCATAGTTCAAAGGGCCCAGGTCAGCCTGTCCAGCAGTAACAACAGAGGGCACTAAATAACTGAAATATTTTAAAACTAAACATATATTATCATCATACAACACAATTTGGGAGAAATATAAAAACTAAAGTTAACTTAGAGAAAATGAAATATAATGAAAGTCCTACATGTGTCATTACTACTTCATTCCCCAGTCCATCTCCCATTTTTTCCTTTAAAAGGTGCCCTGTCTTGTATAATTTAACACTCATTTATTGTTCTGTAATTATCCATTCAATCACTCTGATTTAAAGCTTAAATTGATAAAGATGCTTTTAAAAAAAAGTGAACTTACAGAGGCCCCAGGCCCACAGTCCATAAAGCAAAATTCTTGCAGAAGCTGGTGTAAGTTTTGTCCAAATAAGGACTTAAGGCCTGTTAGATTGAGCCCAAGAGAAATAGGATTTGATGGTTTGAGGGCCAAGTCAAAGGATTTGGATTCAGTACCACAGACCTCCTGGGAGACGCTGGGAATGTCACTTTTGTGGAGCTGGTCCCTAGTTTACCATTTGTAAACGGCTATAATAGTACTTCCCAACCTCAGCACAGGGTTGAGAGGCAGGAAACATAATGGATTCTGATGTGCTTAGCTTCTACACTAATAGGAGCTATAGGTACCTTTGAGAGATGCATAGGATGCCATTTTAAGGTATAATATATGTGGATTTCTGTTTCAGGTACAGTCCATTCAAGCTACAGTTGGAGATTTTGAATCAGCGATGAAAATAGTTCAGCAGAAGCAAGAAGTTACGGAGAAGACTGTTAAGCAAGGGGAGAATGAAATAAATCGCATCAGTGAAGTTCTTGAGAAACTACAAAATGAAATCTTGAAAGACCTGTCTGATGGCATCCATATGGTAAAGGACTCAAGAGAGCGAGACTTCACATCTCTTGAAAATACTGTGGAAGAAAGACTAACAGAGTTAACCAAGTCTATAAATGATAACATTGCTGTATTCACTGAAGTCCAGAAAAGGAGCCAAAATGAAATCAGCGATATGAAAACAAAGGTTGCTTCAATGGAAGAAAAAGACGCATATAAACATGAGTTAAAGGTGCTGAAAGATGCTCTTGATGATGTGCAAGCATCCTTGAAAACCAAAGAAAAGGACATAGAGTTGCTGAGAAGTACAATAGATTCAATGGAATCTGATGTTTATACTGAAGTCAAAGAACTAGTTAACCTCAAACAGGAACACGAGAAATTCAAAGAGGCTGCAGACACTGAACACCTTTCATTACAAGCTTTACGAGAGAAAGTTCTTAAAGCTGAAGAATCCCTTACACAGTTCCCTGATGAGATTAAAAGACTTGATGAAGACTTACTGCATATTAAAGCCAACCTCAAACAGGATGTAAACGAACTCCCAGAAAACATACCAGAAATCCTTGAAAAGAATCAGGAAAGGTTTGAATCCAGGTTCAGACCTGTAGAAGACAGTCTTGAGTCCCTGACTTCGGCTACCACTCAATACATTGAAAAGATGGAATCCCTTCTTTCTAGGCAGGAGGAGCATGAGAACAAGCTAGTTTCCTTAGAGGAAGGCATTACAGCTCTACGGGACACCTTAGGTGCTGATACAAGTTCAATATCAGACACTCTGAGAAGTCTCAGTGAATCTCAGATTTCATTGTTCAATGATATTGATGAACTGAGAAGAAGTGTAAGTGACCTCCCAAACTCTGCTGATGCCCTTCAGAACATCCAGAAAGAAGTTAGGGCTTTGCTGGATCAAGAAAAGCCTCAGATGGATCAAGCACAACCTCAAGAATATATAGAAAAGCTGTCTTCTGTGGAAGGCTCTGTCAGTGATTTAAGGTCTTCTGTCAGTCAGGTCGATACTGACTTGAAAATGGTCAGAACTGCAGTAGATAGCTTAGTTGCTTATTCAGTGAAAATTGAAACTAATGAGAACACCCTGGAGTCGGTGAAGACCACAATAGATGACCTAAGGAATGATCTGGAAAGATTGTTTGTGAAAGTAGAAAAGATACATGAAAAGATTTGAGGAACAGTGCTGATTAGGCAAGTATTGGATTTTTTTAGAAAATTAGCTTTTGTATGCCCCCTCCTTTTTATTTTTTTACTCTCTTTAAAGATGAGTTGACACCTCCAAAAGAAAACAAGAATGCTTTTACAGTCTGATACAGATCTGCTCATTTTCCTGTACTTTTCTTCTGTGCAGGGTATTTTTAAGTTTCACAGAGGTTTAAATTACTAAAGGCTTTTTTAAATCTAGAATGATATTTTGCTTTAACTGCCCTGTTCTAGTTAGTGATACAGCCCCTTCTTTGTAACTCCAACCATCAGACAGCGTGGTCCTAGTTATAATGATGTAAGGGTACTTTATACAAGTACAGCTATTCCTATAGAAAAGGGGGAAAAACTGCTGGTATAAGACATCTTTATATTGACACATGCTAGAGGAGTGATTCTCTAAGTGCTGTTGCACCCCAGGGTGCATTGATAGCCATTTAAAGGTGCTGTGGGGTGCCATGCAATATTAGCACCATTAAGTGTGCAAGCATGATTCACAAGATAAGTCCAGAGATTTCAAATAGGAATCCATTCTGACCTGCTGTAGTCTTTGATATCTTTGCAACAGAAGAATTGCTCTGTTATATTTCTTTAGTAAAAAACTGAGTGAAACGTAAGAGCAGACATTTTTCAAAGGATGCCTTGAATCTAAAAAAGCTGGGAACCACTGCACTGGAGCTTTTACGAATTTAATTGTTTCAGCTGAAGAACAAAGTTTACACGCCTAAGCAAAATACTCATATTGGTAAAAGTTAAGTATAAGCCAAGCCTATAACAACCCATCAGTTTTTGCAGTTTCCAGTGAAGGTAAAAAAGGACAGACTGCTATGCATACACAGTTGCATACAGGAAAACCCACAGAGGGAGGGAAAAGGCAAGGCAACCATAGATTCCAGCTTCCTAAAAGCCTATAGTGAGTACCTTCCCCCAGCACCTGCAAACCCCCAGGTATAGACTGTCATTGCTGGACAGAGCAATCTGAGCAAGAGGATGCAGTTCACTGTCAGTCAGAATTCAGAGTGCATAGTAAGATTTGGTCATGTTCTTTTGGTGTTACTAAGATTATTTGGCAGATTTTTCCCTTCAAGTCCTATTTTCCCATTTGTAACATCACCTTTGGTTGTTGTGGGGATGATCTGGAGTGTGGACAAGGAAAACTAAAACAAAAATCCTGTTTTCATCTATATGAACCATGCTATTAAAAAAAATAGAGAAAGAGAAAATACAGGATGGTATTAGCAGAATTGCTTCTAAATATAATGCCTCCAAAGATTTCCCCTGAGGTCACAGTGACTTGAATTAGTATTACTGTATTATTTTGCATAAGGGCTTGATCCTGTACCAGAGAGTCAATGGGAGCTTGCCAGTGATGTCAGTGAAACTGAATCAAGCCTCACACTGGTTAAGAAGCAGAAAATGTGTCAGATATTTAGAGCACACTAAACATTGCTGTTCATGCAAAGAACCACTTAGACATAGAGCTTTCTGTTTTTGTTTTTTTTTAACCTATTGGAAAGGATTTCTGATGTTAGTTCTTTCTGAAGTTTTCAAATGTCATACAAGTATTTTAAAAGGTGTCTACACATAGATGTAAGTCACTCTGAAGATGAGGTTATCTGAGAATATAGTGCCCACCCTGCATTAGGTACCTGGCTACAGTAGAAAATAAATTCATACAAATAGCACCTCTGAAAAATGGTACGTTACTGGGGACAGCCTGGGCAAAAAGGACTCTTTAGGTACATCAGAATAAGACATTCAGCCAATTTTAAGGCTGTTCCCACTGCATATAGTAAGAGGTTCAACTGTTCAAAGAGCCTTAATAAGTAAGAAGGATGAACTACACTGAGATAGTGTGTTTCCTTTTAAGCTGCACTGTTCCTTGTTGACTTTTCATTTCAATTTTTGAACAACTGTTTAGATTACTGTGAAATGAACTGTATGGCTTATTTGCAGTATTTTTAATACATAATAAACACTTGGAACTTTTGATTTTTTTTTCTCTCCTGAGTTGCTTACTTTCACTTTCAAAAATGTTTCCTGCAGGGTGCAGAGAATAGCTGGGAAGAGGGGTGGAACAGCTTCTCACTTTTTCTCTAGAGTCTCAGCTTTCATATTAAAAGGAGATCCCTGTTATAGTTCCAAAGACAACCTTAAAAATGCTGTGTGAGTACCATCAAAGCAGCACTGTCTATTTGAGTCTTCAGAGGACTCGAAACAATAGCTTCTAGGAGTGAAATACATTATTCATTTCAGTGCTGACTCAGGCACAAAAATGCTTTCAAATGTCAACGTTGTTGACAATTTCAGTGCGGACAGCCAATGAAACAAGTGTCAAATGACATAGATCAGGGTGGCCAGCCTGTAACACAGGTGCCACAAAAGGCCCAGGCACCCTCTGTATGTGACATCTGACAGATCAGGGAGGGGACAGGTAGCACAGTGGCAGGCACGGCAGGAAACAAAGCAAAGCAGCTAATCAGAGAGGGAGCAGAAAGCAGAGCAGTAGATTAGACAGGGGAAGGGAATCGGAATAGCACTTGGGGAGGGCATGGGACTAGTTTGTGGCACACCTGCCATAAAGGTTGGCCTACACAGCTAAATCTATACAACTTGTCTTAAATGGCTGCTTGTGTTCAAGGATTTTTTTTGTTATGGGGAATGCAGCTGGTATTACTTTCAAGAAGTTCAGCTTAAAAACTTTGGGAAATGTTGATTTAAGTGTTCCCCTTAGGAAAAAAAACCAAATATAAAGATAAACCCAAATTTTATAATGCAGATCTCTGAATTTGGGGAATTTTGACCCAGATTTGAATATCACAGCTCACCCCTGTCTTGGAATGATCAGAACTAGAAACCAAACCCCCTTACAGATCAGAACCTGTCCCTTTTCCTACCACAAGTTTCAAGAATTTAAAATCTAGCTCAGAATTTCACAGCAAAGAATCATCTCTCAGGAGCTTTCATAAGTAGTGGTAGTACAAACAATTTTTCTTTTTTGTCTTTAAGAATGGCCTGGTAGTGTTTTTCAAATGAGGGGATTCATTATTGATAAGAGTCCACTCCTCCTATTTACAGCACAACTGTTTTGATAGAAGGCATTGCCAGTAGAACAGTTGCTGCTAAGATGAAAATTGCACTTTTCTGATGCATGCTATGTTCTACCTAGACCAGGGGCGGGCAGTTATTTCAGGCAGAGGGCCACTTACTGAGTTTTGGCAAGGCATCGAGGGCAGCATGACAGGCAGCCGGTGCAGATAAATACTAACTTCCTAAATTTTTTAGGGGCCCCACGGGCTGGATAGAATAGCCTCGCGGGCCACATCCAGACCACGGACCGCATTTTACCCACCCCGACCTAGACTGATGTCCATAATTGTGTTATACCAAAGGACTAGCGATCATTTTAAGGGCTGACCCCTCATGAAACGTAACATTTCAGGTAGAAATACACATACCACATGTGATGTACTTCACCTATCTGGATTAGTTATTTTCGAAGTATATATGGCAGCTATAATACAGATTTCAGATCCTGGCACCCAGTTCAGCTGCTTCTTGTTTCCCTTTAGGGAATAAAGCCGATGAATCAATCTTAATTCTGGATGGTTCATAATTCTTTTATGGTCTCTTATAGTCTAAGAATACTTGATTGTGGTCAGCGGCCATGACTTGAAACAGGTCGGAGGTTGCTGTAACTTTCGCTGGGAGCTAGGTCCAAGAAGTACAAATTTAAAAATGTCTTCTAGCTACTTTACCCTTTTTATCTGGGCCAGACAAGAGCCTGTAGCTCAAAGACTGCAAGAAATGCTAAATCTAACTCGTATTAAATAGTACAGTGCATTTCTGAGAATATAAGTGATTTTCAAAGCTTGCAAATCACACGCAAGCACTGATTATAGATCTCATTGCAGGCTTGAGTCAAAGGAAAACATATAACTTACCTCATGTTCCAAACAAAAACCCAAATCCTTCCTACTTTTTTAACTTGGCCCCAAATTTTACACCTGCAGTTATCATAATGCTCAACAACATTATCCCAGATTCCAACACACACACTGGAGGAGGTTCTGGTTCTGTCATTAGTGTTCCCTGATGTGGGTAGTAATTAATATTTAGTACTTCAGTGGTGAATTTCTGGAACTCCCCAGTCCCTTATAAATATTAACATAATCAGTTCTCAGAATGCCTGACAAGGGAGCCTTTGTATCTTCCTTTTAGGGAAAAGCAACTAAGATATAGATCTTGACTGCACTTAAGTATGGGCACAAACAAATTAACACACAAGGTAAGATAGGGTGTGAACTTGCAGTACCTCAACTAAGCCACAGTCATTGCTCATGTGTACACTCTACCCAATGATGAATGTGAAGTAACTTGTTCCTCAGTGAAAGACAGATACACTCCCCCTCATTTTCCAGGGGTAAGAGCCTGGGCACAAGTAGTGACTGTGGATCAGCTGACAAAGCTGAAAGTTCAGATTTGCATAGACTGTGATGGCTTATGCAGGTGTATGTACAGTGCTTACCAATGCAGCTTTACTTGTATAGCTACACCGGCAATGGTCTCCCCAATGGAGGCATGTGTGTGTGTGTGGGTGGAGTGGGAAGGTAGTGGGGACACAGTTCTAATGTTACAAAGTTTGGAGCCCCAGGGTGAGAAGAGTGGTTTTTGCTCCCCTTCCCTGCCAAAAGGAATTACCAGCATTCACAATTCTCCATTTTCAAAGGAGCTGCCGGCCAATATTGAATCTAAGAGTATATGCAGGAACCTTGGGTATACACGTAGCTCCTTAACTTTCACACCAGGCACCATAAAGGATTGAGACTGGTTGGGACAGAACCATAGAAAAATATGATATTTCATAATCTTTGAAATGCAGAGCTCTCCTGCGGAGAGTGGCACAAGAAAGAACTCGCTCCATGTTTTTTAACTCTGCATAGGAGGCAACATCTAACTAGGAGTGTTTTATTAGTGCATATGTGGGCAAACTGCTGTGAGCCTGGCTAATGATATTCTGGCAAACCTGCACTTCATACCAGTCCCATAAAACCATCTCTGCCACTGAAAGAAACAATCTATCCTGGCAGAAGCACAATTTAGGCAGAAGTATAACTGTGTCTACATTAAGCAATTCTGCTGACATGGCTGTCAGTCGTAACCAACCCCAGATAAAAGTTTACTATGTAAACACAGCTTGGAGATTCACTTGTAATGAGTCAGTCAAGCCCTGCAACGCACATGCCAAAGGCACCTATTTTTTGCCTTCAGCCTGCCTTCCACAGCAGTGCTGAGATTAAAAATGGCTTGCAGCGAAGCATTAGTGGTTTGCCAAGCTCCAGCAACAGCAGCTTTCATAGCGGTTAGAAGGCATGAAGAAAAACAGTTACTGACAACAAGCCATTGTCTGCAGCTGACTCCCTTCATGCATTAAGGCTA